ACAAAATTGGAAATAATTTTTCGAGATTAATGCTCAGTTTGATGTAGGTCGAGATCAGTAACTTGTGTGCAAAATTTTAGATCATTCGCTCCCGCGGTTTATCCAGGATAATTATTCAAATTGTGAAAAATGACCCCAAAATTGAAAAGCGTTTAAACGCTTTTCACTCAAATCGTATCAAAAATAGCACAACATACGCTTTTCGATTCATTTTTGAGTATATTTCTATATCAATTGTTCATGTCTTCCTGTTTTACGTGCCCAAGCTGATCTGTGTAAAAAAAAAAAAAATATTTTATGCTTTTAGGTTTTTGAACCTCAGTGGAGTTCCTTTAACTGATAATGGTAACAGCGATTTATACGGGAAGGTTAATCCTCTCAATCGTATTAAACCTGTTCTATATTGCGACAAATTTTATCAATATTTATGTTTAAATAGCCTCGCCAGAGCAGAACTTTAATATTCTATAAATACATTGCCTTTTAAATGTAAAGTTAAGTCGATAAGAAGCCAGTCAGTTGGGTAATTCAAACATGTGGGTGTATTTTTTCCCACGGTTAAGTAGGGTAGTGTGTAGATTGATTGAATGGCATTCCTTCGCGTTTTAAAACCCGAAACTACGTGTGACTAACCATTTTAAAACGCGGTGATATCCTTGAACCCATGGACGAGGAAGGTAGTTTGGGATTTTTTTAAGCGTAGGCGGATTTGTAAAGATTATATCTTTCCTTAAGGTAGTCTTAAATTACGATTATAGAGGTATTCGGGTTACAATCGGTGCAACTGTTCTTTCACTTTCGTAATATGTCAATATACACGGCCACTTTTTCGCAGAAACATAGAGTTAATTGTTCGCACCTACGTATTGTTAACATCAAAGCGCAGTATCTAAGTATTTTGGAATTTTTCTTGTATGTCTCATTTGAAATTCCTTTCAGTATAAGGCAGAAGATCACCTTAAGAGTCCTATGTGTGCTATTTACAACTTGTGATGTATTAAAAAAAATTCCAACTGTTTTAATGAGTAATTCACAGTAGGTAACGATGGTTCAGTCGTTAAAAACAAACCAAAAGGGTTTTTTAACTGACTACTAAATGTTTCTTTTCTTGTCATAAATAGAATGTGCACGTCATTACAGACACCTTTGGTATCCATTTTGTTTTTTAGGAGATGTCATTTATCTATTTTTATATTATGTGTATATTTTCATTTATCTATTTTTAAGTATGTGTATATTTGTATTAAAACCGCAAAAAAGAAATCAAAGACATTATCGGTTTTCCGGCTTTGCAAACGGGAAGAGATTAGTGTACATCACTTTTCATATAAGACGAACAATAGTTGAAACAATGACCTTCCGTCAAAGAAAGAAAGAAAACAAACAAAAACAAATAAAAGTCTTTCAAAAACTTTGAAGTGATTTTTTGTTGTATATTTACAGTACACATACATTTATAAACCCTGCCTCTTTAAGTGCACGTGCCGTTTGCTTTAAAGTCGCGTGCGCATTTGTAATGTTTGGAACATTTACGGTAGATGAAGACCTCAGGTGCCCGTTTGTGTTTAATTTTAGACTCCAGCAGGCACACGTGTCGGACCAAGGACCAGAACAGTTTGGAAAGATGTTGCGCAGAAAGATATACAAAAGAAAATTAAGAAATATACTCAGAAATAAATTGAAAATCGCACTTTTGTGCTATCCTTAGCCAGATTTGAGTCATCGCTTTTCAGTCTGGTCCTTTTGCCACAATTACAATATCTGGGAAGGGCTTAATCTAATGTTGTAAGAACTTGTTGCCCAACCAACTTGCATTTTGATATATATACACATTATTTGTATAATGTGTTTGTAAACATGTATTTAATGCAATACAATATGTTTAAACTATCATTATTATTATTTCGGTAAAACTGATTGAGCGAATGATCTGAAATTTTGCACACCAATTATTTGTTACGACCAACGTCAAATGATTAAAAAATCTCGAAAAAATTATTTCAAACCCAGTAATGTTACAAGAAAACTCACTGAAGCCCCTTTAATCTTATTAAATGAGAAAGTTAAAAGCTATGTAACTGCAAGTATTGTGCCCACATTGATAGATTGATTGATTGATTGATTGATTGATTTGTTTTACACATTGTGTAAAAAACGTTATTTCATATGATACAATAGAGTAAAAATGTCATAACTCTCGGAAAGCATTGCTGCTTTTTTTTCATTATTTTTTTAAAAGGAACAAATAAGAGTATAAAACAAACAAACAAAAGCTAATTATTGCTGTCTTGTTAGATCTTCATATTTCTAAATGAAATCAATTTTGTACATTTTTTTTTAATGTATACAGTAATGATATATTTAAATTTATATAATTTTTACCCACTTTATATTTTAGTTTATTATAAAGGAAACGTTTTAAATAAATAAAATTAACGATTTTATTTAATTCTTATGCATGGCTTTTCGCATCCACGTGAACCCACTTTCAAGTAAACACCCTGGACTTACTTTTCCTTATCAATTATTTACCTTTCAAATAGTTTGACATCAATTCAAACCGCGGTTTCCCTATTGCGGTTACATTTTGCTTTTACTTTAAGTCCTATGTATAAAAGTATATCTATTTGGTTTGATTTGTCATAGGTTATTTTAAACCAAATGATGTTAACCTGGTAAAGTGACCGGTAATTCCGACACAATTATAGTTCGTGACCACGTGATTTTTTTCAATCATGTATGTATAAGGATTTCCGATACAATCACTGCAGCGCTGCATGTAGCGCGGCAAAACGCCAATTTTTTTTACGCGGGAAATTAAATCTATTGCTTTTGCTTTTATTTCTTTTACGCAATGTTTTTGTGGTTCCCGTTTGATTTATGCACACTTTTTTTCATTATATTTTATATGTATGCAAGTTCCCCGACATTTTTACTTAAATTATTTTAAGAATATTCTTATTTGAACGATACGCTGCTCATTTGTTCGCTGTCAAGTTGAGTTAAATAATTAAATTATTTTAAAAGATTGTCTTTTATAATTGTCAGTGGCTAACAATTGATAATGAAAAGTTTTAATAATACAATATAAAAGAAACAACTCAATAACCAAATAAGAATTGACCTATACATTCTGATTGATATTTATAGAAGTTTCAATTGGTCATGTGGATTATTGATTTTTTTCCCCATAAAAAATCACCAAAATCTAAAATTAAACACAATTATGGCCAAAAATGTCAAGTTATTATATTTTTTTTTCTTGTCTCTTTGATTGGCGTGGTGTCATTTTAATTTCATCACAAACTGGGCTTGAACCCGGCTTCGGTCCCGATTATGTTTCCGCAATGCAGACACAAACTTTGTTTTTATTAAACTTGTTTGAGATAAATAAACCTGCCTAAAAATCATAGTGATTCCAAAGACTGTTATACAAACTTTGAAATGTATTTTTTTTAAATATTAAATCTTCATGTTAAAATTAAGTTCTGTAACGAAACAATATCAATTTTTGTATTTTGATTTTGTATTATGTTAATGTTGTTGTTTTCTTTATTTCAATGATACAACAAAAATTTATATTTTATTGTTATTGTTGTTGTTGTTGTTGTTGTTGCTGCTGTTGTTGTTGTTGTTGTATTATACATGCATTTCTTAGTACTTTTATGAATAAAAACTGCAACGGGAAAGAAAATGCTGGAAACGTCGTAATTTGCGTCGCGTTTTTCTTTTGGTTTTGTCAATGTTATTTTTAAAGTATGCCGCAACATCTATCCTGGAAAGTCAAGGTAATCGATACCAAAATTCCAATGTAACTGATGAGTTTCACTACAAACAATTACGGCTTTATACAGAATAAGAACACACGTTATCCTACTTGTCAATATACAAAATTATCTTCCTTTCATTTAACAATGAAAATAGAAAAATAATAATTACATTAGTGTTAGTATAAATTTGTATACACATAGTTTCACTAGAACGAATGCCCTTGGCATTCGGTATAGGGGCGCCTTATGCCGAGTGGTTTAGTTTGTTATCTTCAAACAACTAACCCCTAATTGCTGTGGGTTCGAATCCCGCCAAGGACTTTAGATTCTTTCCTGTGAGGAAGCTATCCAGCTATCCAGCTAGCTTACGGAACGTAAGTGGTTCTACTCAGTTGCCGGTTCGTGCCTGAATTAATGCACGAAGCGGAACCGGAGCAGAAACAGAGGTTTCTCCTTCAACAGTAAAGCTGGACAGTCGCCATATGACCTCTACTGTGTTGGTGCTATGTAAAACCCAAAGGAAATCCGGGAATTCAGACACATACGAAAAGTTTGGTTCCAATATTTCTTCTTATTCTCATCACCATATTACATTTTGATATATTCAAATCTTAATTTCGGGGTCCATTTAAAGGCAAAATTTACCCCCCCCCCCAAAAAAAAGGGGGAATATCATGGAACAAACAAGAGTTTTAAAGTTTTAAACATTTTATATATTACTCACTAGTAGAAATGGCACTAATTGGGAAATAATTTGTCACAAAAGCAGTAAAATGTAAACAAATTAGTATTTTTTATTATTGTACAACATGCCAAATGTACCAGAAGCAAATGTACCAGAAGCAAAGATGGCTTAGGCAAATGGCCGATGGGTAACTTTTTTACAACTAATACATAACAACGAAACTAAAAAAGCTTTTGAGAAATAATGATAAAAGCTTTCCTGGGGCTTAGTTTGGCCTCTCAATTTATACAACTGTTTGAAACTATGTGTGAAAGTACCCATATCTTAGAATATATACTTCTTGATTTGTTCCATAGACTTGCCCTTTTTTCATTTTATTCGTTGTTAAAACCGTGTTCGTTATAAGTGTACCCAGCGCTATCGTTCACAAAGCTGTGAATTTCAATTTAAATAATGTCAACAACTCGCATAAAGAAATGCAATGATTTATTAATAAAATGTGATAATTTCTTCACATGGAAATGCAAATGTTAATGAATAAAGAAAAGATATAACAACATTTTTGCATTGTATACAGAAAATAATAGGAAATAAATAAGAACACAAAATATTTTGACTAAACTGACTAAATTATACAGAAATGCATTCAATAAATAATGTTTTAAATGCAAAAACTTGAACAAAAACTAGATTGAGACAACTTTCTGTGGACGGAAAATATTCAAAACTAACAAATACATGTAGTTTTACTACTGTTATGAATATGTGATTTTATATAAAAAGTATTTACGAAGGTGACTCATATGACAATTTAAGCACTAAATTTTTAATACTACTGTAACATACTTTAAACTGCTGGCTTTCTTAAATGGATTTGTCAACCTTACCATTTTTTTAAATCTCTCAATAAGCAATTTTGTGATATCAAAATGAAAATTTGAATGAAGTTGGTCAACAATAAAGAGGCGGGTCAGTCCGTACTTGACACCGCTTTATCACTTCCGGTTCCAGCAGGGTAAAGGATAAAACCTGTACCTAAAACAATGGCACGTTCTAAAATAGGAATGTAAGCTAATTTACATAAAAATATGCATAAACATTATCTTAATACATATGTAACTTTTCTTCCTGAATATTTAACAACTATATAACATATATAATGTATAAAAAGCTACTTAGTAAAAATATATCTATATCTTATGTACAATGTATTCTTTGTTCTACTATTCTTTGTTCTAGGAACTAAAATTAAAATTAATTAATAAAAATCTCAATACACGGTGCAGACATTGATCAAGTCGCTACCACATTAAATCACAACCGTAGAAAAATGTTCATCCTTTAAACAGACAGACAGACAGACAGACAGACAGACAGACGTGTACACATGCTCATAATACTTTTCATGCAACACCGTAACCTTCCATTCATATAAAGATAAGTTAATAAATAAATAGATTAATTTACAAAAAGAACACATTATGGCAAATATGAAAATTGTCAAAAGATGTGTTAATAAATAGATGTCATAACTAAAATTTTGTCACAACCTAAATGAACAAGTTTATACATTATTCAAAAATTTTACTAAGGAGTGAGATTCAAAAACAAATTAACACATTGGAAAGTCCTGAATGAGTATTTCTTGTTGGTGGAATGTTAGTTTTACTCCATAACGTCATGTACATCTAAAACAAATGTTTTTCCTTTTTTGAGATCTTTTCTTATTGCGTCTTCTATTTTTACACCGACGCTTGTTACTTTTTTCTTCACCTTTATTCTTCTTACAACCTTTTCGCCCCTTATTTTTTCTCCTTCTGGTTTTATTTTTATTTTTCCTGTCTTTTCTGTTTTTTCTTCCCTTTGGTGCATTTCTAAATTGTTTTTTATCTTCACTGCATCTTAGAAATATTTCCATTTTCGCACCACATTCATACTGACAATTTTCCGTTATTTCAGGGCTATTTAAATCCTCTATTGCGTCAATAGTGGCTTCGAAACTTTTCACACTGTGTTGTACAATTGATTGTATATACTCCTTCTCATCCCTTTTATCCGTGAAAGGTTTTACGTCGATAAACTTGCACATCTTCTTCTTAATTTTTCGAATTCCAAGCATTGATGTGTAGTCATACAGCTTGCAAGATACAGCTTCAGATAGTTGAATAATTTTATTAACTTGTGTATCGCCTTTAAGATTTTCGTTCAAATGTCTGTCGCGTTCTAGAATCTCTTTATACAAGTTCAGGTACGCTATCTGCATCATCATTCTCCCATAACCATGGTGAATAATCTTCTCCTGGAAATAAACGTAAAAAAATGGTATCAATAATACAGTTTTTCATAGTGATTTCTTGATTAAGAAATATACAATGTACATTTGTTATTAGTATAAACATGTTTATTCCCAAAAGTATATATAATGTACATACAAATAAAACAATAAACAGAATATTTTTACAGAATGGAAACTGGTGAGAACGAATGAAGAATCTTATGGAACTCTTCTCCTTAGGAGAACTATATGGTTTGTCTTAAATAAATTGATAGAATTTACTAGACAAGAGAATAAGTAGATACATGTATAATGTTATTAAACAATTAATCATGAATACATGTTTTGTAAATAAACAAGCAAATTTATGGACTATTGTTCCAGAGATATAGATGGAAAAATGAAATTAACTGGCTAATTGTAAGCCAATGGCTAAATATAATCCAATTAAAGTTCATCAGGCAGTATTGAATAGATAAAATATGAATCAGTCATGTCCACGTATAAATATCATTGAACTTTGGATACTTAACAATGACTCAAGTTAGGAATAAGTTTACTTACAACTTTAGTGCCTGCCCGAAGGTATTTAGAAATACTTGACTTTTCGATGTCCTGCAAATCTATAATGTCATATGGCTCGAAATCCGTATCAGAAGTGAGAATGCTTCCCTGTAAGATGATGAAAAAAGTTTTATTTCATATTTACATAATATCATTAAAGATAATGATGATAACAATAATAATGATGATAATGTATTAATAATATTGAGACTTATTGAGGCAAATAATAGTGGTAATTTCACTGCACATAACTTAGATTTAATTATTTATATAATTGATGAATTAATTAAATAATAGCAAAGTATGCATTTGTCTTACCAGCAAATCCTTCTCTGCAATAAGAGTGTCTTTAATTTGACCCAGCAATGGTCCTAATTGGTTAACAATTTCAAAGGTGTCATTACGCAGTAGAGGGCATCCGCTTGACTCATCTGTTCGAATGTCACTAAAACCTTGGCAGTGCTTGCAAAATTTGCTAGGGATTCGAACCTGGTAAGTTGCTTGGCAAAGAATAGCACCCACGTTTACCATGAGAATAAATGCAATAACCGTCAGTCGTGCTTCTGAAATAGAGAGTAATGAATCTTTAAATTAATTACGCATGAAAATAACAGAAAGAAATAGAAAACAGATAATGCATAGCAATTGAAATTTCTTAACAAAATAATATATATATATTGAAGGTTCTATTTGTAAATATGCATTGTAATAACTAACTCTACCTTTTTTCATGTACTCCATATTGTATTGAAATGAAATGCCTTACCATTTTAGTGATTATATATACCAGACTATTCAGCATCAATTTGGAATTTACAGAGTTTCAGACATGTATATATAAATCCCAGACACATCAAACACATGTAGAGCTTGCGCGCACATTTCATTGGCCAAGAGAAAGAACGATATTATTGTTGACGCCGTTTTTCATTGGTTGATCGCGTATCAATGCCCGATATAGAAAGGGAATCCCGTCTTTACACGAACTTATCTATTGGTAATCAACGGTCATTATTTGACCAATTTAACATATTATTTTTATAGTGACACCTCAAAGCATCTATTTGTGTAAATCAACTCGTTTAATTATGCATACAAATTTTAAGCAAGTCGCTTATGGAAATTATTAAACATGACATATTGGATATGCTCATAGAGTTAAATATATGACGGTGACAGGGGCGGAGCAGTATCAGATTAAATGAACGGTGTACGCTTAACCAGTCAATGAAGATTTAATCATTATTATTTTTCTGTCGCTAGCAAAGCTTTTTCTACTTTTGAAGTCGTATCTTCTTGTAAAAAAATATTTACATGTTTATTAACGCTGAAAAAAAAACGTGCGCAGTAAAACATATTTTTAAAGAAAACAGAAAAACAAATAACTTTTAACACTATTAAATAACGTATTGCTCCATTTTACAAAATTCATTTGCGGTCAATCATTTCAACATTTTTAAAGAAAGTGAGAATGCCATAGAAATATGTGCAATTTTATATGTCTCAACTTAAAACATTATAATCGTATGCAATTTTTTCAGCACTTTAAATAGAATAAAATAATGCATACCACTCACAGAATGTTACATTTAATTTCTATCAACAGCGTCACAAAATACATTGTTTTTCACGTATAAATCTTGCCTCATCCGTCTACATTTTTTTCAGCTCGAAGCATTACGCAAAGAAATAACAAAAATAAATAAATAAATAAATAAATTTTAGATAGTCAGTTTCTAATATGAAATTATTTTGTTATGATGAACGGTTATTTGTTTAATAATTTCCATGTATTTTCGAAAATCTTGTTGATAGTTATTCAAAATAAAAGCATTTCGGCAAAACATGAGTGAAAACAAATAATAAGATGATAGATATTGACTATAAAAATGGTTTTAATATCATTTGTTAACTTCAATCTGGCTATTTAAGTCGGTGCTAGGGGGAGGGGGCGTGAACGGTAGCTTGCAATTTTCACTACTCACCACGAATAGGCTCATTCAAACCAAGACTGCAACATTTTCAATTCTGCCATAGAAAATATTTGAGCCGCGTCACGACAAAACCAACCCTATTACAAGTAGAGAAACTGATAGTGAACAGCATGGATCCTGATCAGACTGCGCGGATGCGCAGGCTGGTCTGGATCCATGCTGGTCGCAAACGCACTATGTTGGTTTTGTCGTGACGCGGCTCATATGTTAATCATCTAGACAACATCTGTACAAAACTTTTGCTTAAAATGTTGGTTGTTATGTCTTGTAACTGACGGATCTTTAGGGAAAAATTGTTTCCTTAAGGTACAGGTGGACCTCATGATTGCTGGACACATTCGGCTCTTTATGTAACAGGTCAAATTCTGGGTTTTATTTGTGACTTTGTATGAAAAGTGACGACGTGAGTTGATTTTAACATCACATGTTAAATGTAAATGTTTCAAATGTAGCACTCCTTTTTCAATACCATGAATGTAAAAGATTGAATATTGCTAAAGACGGTGCTCTGGGCATGCGAGATATGGTATCTAACAATAACGTTCATTAACAAATTGGATCTCTATAAGTCAAATAATTTTCAAGGTATTATCAAAATTTCTACAAAATTAATAGTCTTATTGAGAGTAATTTCATTTAAGTTATAATATAACAATAGAAAAAAATAAAAGAAATTTTGATGAAACATCAAAATGCTTCTATTGTTTTTTTCTGTAAGAAAATACCGCCCATGACCAGGCTCAATCAAACGGAGCCTGAAATCTTTAATTTTTGCTGTTTTTAGACGTTCTTGTAACAAGAAAATGTAACTTTGTGTTTTATCCGCCACGAAATTTATTTATTTATTTATTAATTTATGTAGGAGAAATGTATTTATCGTTTGTTCTGCATTTCATCACTTGACAGGTATATATGTGAGCATATGAAAAATGTATGACAAAAACTGTACTGTATATGCCAATAAATATTTCTGTCTGTTTGTCTGTCTCTTTTTTAGGGATTATGTATTTCTCTATTTTGTATTATGGTTGCTCTTGTTCCTGTATTGAGTCAATAAAGAGATCTAGGTATGTTCTGTTCTGATCAAGCAGTCAACTTAATTTTGTGATAACAAATATGTGTTTGTAAAATGTTTGAACATTTAACAACTTAACTGACCGCATCTCATATGACATATGTTTTCAAAAGATCATAGAGTATTCATACAAAAATGCTAAAGCAATATATTCCCCACGTAAATTAACTATAGAAAAATGATATTTCTAACAATGCAATTTTTTCCTTTTGAGAATAATTGTAGAAAATACTATTAAGATGTTGGAATAACTTAAATTATTAAATTAATAAATTTTGAAATACAATATGAGTAAAATACACCGGTATTTAAAATGTGCACCTCTATGTTTTCAGTTATTCAAAAGTTCATTTTTATCACATTCTTAGTTCTTTAATAGAAATGTTTGAGTCAGAAAACTAAATAGGTGTCCAATGAATTTTTAACAGGATCATTATTTAATAATTAAATATATATATATATATATTGAATACTTATTCTAGACTTTAAAGGCATATTATTCCTTAGAAATGAATACAAATATATTTTGCATAAGAAATAAGTTTTTTCTTATTATTGAAAGAATGGATTTAAAGTATGTTAGCAATTTCTCATATAAAAAGAGAAGAGAAGCGCTTGCAGTGAAATTATCTGCTTTAAAATATAGAAAAATGTAAACAAATCAATCAAAATAATGTTTCAGTATAATCATACCAGTTGCAAAAAAGAAAGAAAGCAAAATATGATAGAAATATATAGCAAAGGAGATGTGGTTAGGAAACTTTTACAGGGCACCACAAAAACGACTTTTTGAAAGACTAAAATAAAATAGAATAATCAGGCCTAATTTGCCTAATATTGTTTTCAATTTCATGTAAAATCATCTACTAAAAATACCAGTATAATATGATACATGTACTTTTGTACTTTTAAATATTTTTTTTGTATATTTTTTATCATTTAAAACAGACATTAAGTTTGGATAATATAATATTAATAGTTATCAGAAAGTTTGTTTATTTCATACAAACTACACAAGTCTGTCACAAAATATGGAAAAAAAGTGAGTCAATATGAAATGAAAGATGTAAATAACTAGGTACAATTAAAAAGTCAACATAAACTATTTTGTTCTGCAAATCTAAGATGGTAAACAATGGACAATTCAGGATTGTTTTTAGGTTATACCATTTTGAATACTGTATTCAAGGTATGGACTTTAATGTGGAGACGAGGCTGTATGGGTTATAATATAAAAATATCTACAGTTTAGTTGATATTTTGTGATTTACCTATAATCATCTCTATCACTTAATGACCATCTTTGATGGTTGCAAACTTACTTGACTCATCGTATGTAAAGAAATAAAGACTATTTACATATATAGGTCAAAAGATTTTTATTTCCCACAATTATCTACTAAGATAAATCTGTATGACGTCATTTCCTTTTTTGATTTAAAAAGGGCAAAAGGATATTGATCTTGATATTCTTTGTTTTGCTTTTAGTTTTGGTTAAGAAAAAATGGATAACTTTAAAGAAATGTAATGAACGGCATAATTATGTTTTTGAATAACCAGATATTTTAATATTTTAGGCCGCAGTCAGAAGAGGTCACCTAAAAACGATTGCGCTTTCCACCTTTTCACTATAATCATTTTTTTTTTGCATGTTTCGATCAAATTATGCTTACAGCCACAACAAAAACGCTGGTAAAATTTCAACAACTACTTAATTGGACTTTCAGTTTTCTTTGTTTTGGCATACGTAGTGAACATTTTCGATTTGACACAAATGATGATTGATCTACTTTCGTTTTCACAGTTCCAAGTACATTATGATGAGTAATACAAAGACATTTATTCTCATGTCTAAACAATATTGTAAATTATGTTACACTGAAAGTGGAAAACTTAAATTATGGAAACTTAAAAAAAAAAAATAATAAATAAAAAACAAAAAAACAAAAACAACAAGTGCACAAGTTGGAACGTTTGAAAATACATAGTGTATGAGTATTTTTTAATTAAGGTGTTTTTTTAATTAAGTGTTACTTACCTTTCTTAACAAAACCTTTCTTGTGTCAACTATTTTGGTTTAATTGGTAAATATTCTTTGGTAAAATCAAAAGGTATTGTATTTTTATATCACTTCACATATTTTGAAATATAACTTAATTTTCTGAAAATTTAATGCGACTTTTTTATTTTTCGAAAAAATAGAGAAAAAAAGAAGATAAAATGAATTTAAACAGTAAAGATAAGTTGTCATTTTTGAGAACATTGTAATCTTCTAAAACAAACATAATTTATACTCTCGAATTTCCAGGAATATTGAGACTATTTTTTATGTAAGTTAACTACTTGTTTCAACGTATAAAACTGAAATAAATGGTTCATTTGCAAAAGACGTCTATGCTACATTTAATACAATTTGATCAGTGATACTAGTGGAATTTTAATCAAATGTTTTCATATCAAGTTAAAAGAAAATGAGAAAATGGCGGGTTTGTTGTTGTTGTTGTTAAAAAAAACCAACTTTGTTGAGATAATTTTGCAAGAAGATGTCGTTTTGGATTCCTGCTTCAGACAATGATTAAACAATATGGACATATTTATTCTAAACTAGCAAAAAAGTAAAAAAAAAACACATACACCACTTCTGTGGAATAGTTTCAACAATTCTGTAGATAATACGAGGAAAGGATTCCTTTTGCAGGTTTAACTTTTAGACTGTTGGTGACAACATTTTCTATCCATGCGACCAGTGCAGACCATGGTCAGATGGCACGGATATGACCACTGCAGACCGTGATTACCCTAGAGGAGCCGGCACATCCATGCAATTTATGTTATGTTAAATATGACCTTATTAGTCAAGTGATTGGGTGTGTGTTCTCTTCAAATTACATTATATATATTTGAGCCGCGTCACGACAAAACCAACATAGTGCGTTTGCGACCAGCATTGATCCAGACCAACCTGCGCATCCGCGCAGTCTGATCAGTATCCATGCTGTTCGCTTACCATCCCTTTTACAAGTAGAGAATATTATAGCGAACAGGATGGATCCTAGTCAGACTGCGCGGATGCGCAGGCTGGTCTGGATCCATGCAGGTCGCAAACGCACTATATTGGTTTTGTCGTGACGCCGCGGCTCATATGATATTCATAAATAACCAGCTTAGGATCCTAATTTCTATCACTGCATCATCTCATTGGTAAGTATTAGATGCCTGATGCCATCCTTTCTGAATAGTACTTATTTTCACTTAGGAAACAGCAATTAAACAAATAAAAACATGTACATAAAATAAAAAATAAATAAAATGAATGAATAAATAAATAAATAAATGAATAAAATGAATGAATGAATGAATGAATGAACGAATGAATGAATGAATGAATGAATGAATCGGATGCGTAAGATATATTACACTCAACATTATCTCTTATAATAAAAAAAATCAGAAATATTCACTAATTGAGACTAACATGCTAGAACCGGAAGTGATTGGTCATTTGCACCGCTATATAGCCTGACCAGCTGGCACAACCATGCCGTCCTACCCAGTTATATACTGTTGCTAGTGTTATTTTTGAAAAATAGACGGTTCTGAATTAAAACCAGGGAAAATCCATTTAAGATAAAACGGCAGGATAAATGTCAGTATTAGTAACATCATTTTTTCGACAAAAGACGTGTATCTAGTTTTCTATAACTATAATATTTAATGTATTACATTTGATATAATTATTAGACTTGATTTTGTGTATTTTTTTTTTTTTTTGTTTTTGTTTTTTGTTTTAACAAAATCACACTGTTTTCAAATTTTCTAATAAAAGTAGCTTTTCTGATGTACGCTTTAAGGGATTAGAATAAACGTTTAACTGAAGTGATAGTGCCATTTTTGAATATCATATTCGTTTTATCATTATCTAATCTTATCTACATAATAAATAACGTCTGAAGTCGATCGTTCTAAAACTTAACCGTTGTGAGACGGGACGACTGAGGCAGTGTCACTCACTTCATTTGCTTCGCCTCTGTTAAAGTTCGGCTCTGCCTTAATTTGTCATATCAAATTTGATATTATGCCCCATATGCTAGCATTTAGTCTTCGTTGACTTGTAGAAGG